AAGATGGACATCTGATTGTGCCATGTCTGGAGAATATGGTTGGTGGGGGAGTCCTTCCCAACCCAACTCCATAATCTTGTGTTGCGTCAAACATGCACATGTGGACGTGCATTGCTGTGGAGAAGAAGAACACCTTTCCGATTGATGAGTGAAGGGCTTGATTTAAATTTTCCAGTTGCTGACTATACATCTCTGCATTGACAGTTTGCTGTAGATTGAGGAGTTTGAAATGAATTACTCCTTTGATGTCCTACCAAATGCAAAGCATCACTTTCTGTGAATGGAGTCCAGGTTTTGGGGTCAGAAATGGTTTTTGTCTAGGACTGAGCCATTGTTCTTGGCATTTAATATTCGCATATAGAATCTATTTTTAATCACCAGTGACATTTGTGTCCAAAAATGGTTCATGCGGCAGAAGAGATGAAGCAACGTTCACATGTTGGAAACGATGATCATCAGAGAGTTCATAAAGCACCCAAACACCTTCTTTATGGAGTTTTTCCCATATTCCTTTCATGTTTACACATTGTTTCATGAGAGACATGCAATTTCAGGGCCATTTCACAACTGTGTTACCTTGGGTTAGACTCAACAAGCATCTTCAGAGCACCAATATCAATTTCAACATGTTGGACCCTGCCTTCAGCAAAAGTCACCTAAACGAAATTTGCTGAACCATCACTGACACTTAAGAATGTTCAAAATATTTCCATACACTTCTTTGATATTCTTTGTGGCTACAGAGGCATTGTTTCCCTTCTTGTATTCAAACAGCATTACATGCCAAATGTGTCTCATCGTGTGCAATCACCATAAGGGGATTAGAGTATACTAAACTTTACAAATTATATAGGCTAGACTAACGTGACATTTAGGCAGTTTGTTTAACATTATACGTGATGTACGTTTCTTAGGGAGTGGTTAATGAAAGTGTTCCAAACGCGACATTAGATAAGTTTGGAGTTCCCCTACCACAGATCTAGGATATCTATAGCCCAGTGGAACTTTTCACATCTTTTTAACAGAAAACTCTGCAGTCATCAAAAAGTTATACATATGTTGAAGTGCTTAAGATTGAAGCAATCTTGGCATGTTTTAATTAGTTGCAATTAATATGAGTATTGTCAGTAAACCTTTTACCAATATCAATACAACTTAGTCTATACATTCTAGGGAACTAATACACCTAGGTGGATTTTCTACTTCACTTTTTTTTCAATCCATTTGATGATTATAACAATGCCAAAACATTCCAAAACTTATTTCATAGACCATTTGAATTTATCATATTCTATGAAGAAACTTCCAGAAAATCAACTTCTTTCACTCTAAGCTAATTATTTTGTTTTCCTGGCATTCTTGACTTTCACAATCAAGTGTAGCAACTGGTATACAGTAGGCAGAGGATTGATCAATCAATATTGAAAAACTAAGAGAAAATCAACTCAGTTTCTGTATTCTTACAATAAATTTATCCCTTAAACTACACACCTTTAACTTTTATATTTCAACAACCAATACATCATGCTACATCAAGAATCTTCTGATCTCAAAGGCTGACCTTCAGCTTTCCTATGGCTTAAAACTATCACCATTTGCAGTCTGCATTATTCCACTCTTAGCTTCACAAGTCTACACACTTTTCCATTCTCGAAGGTAGTGTCTGAACAAGCAATGATTACTCTTTGTTCAATAAATATTGGCATATGAACTTATTTTACTTCAATGACTCCACTCACACATGGGTTCATCTTTTTACTAACTTAATGTGGTGTGGTTGACATATTCTAAACATGTTCTCTCTTGCATTCACTCTGGTGTTCTTAAAAATTAATGCACTGTAGCACCACCACCATTATTATACATCTTGTGTATGACTTTCAGAACAGACTTTTAAACATAATTAAAACAGGTGTTCTTAGTGATTAGCATTCACCAACCTAGCAAAGATGAACATTTGCTAGATAATTATAAATAAATATGTGAAGGCCTAAGACACTTCTCGGGAACCTATTATGTCTGGCATGAAACTAGAATGAGCTTCTTATCTGAACATCATGCTGTACAAATTAATAGCAATTGTTTTTGATAAAATATACATGTACAAAGTTTAAACCAGGAATTTTTTATGTAATACACAAATCATTGATCTAAATTTTCAATCAATTCCCAACACTAGTATTGAGTGAATTTTCATCCTCTGCAGTCATGGAGGTAATGCCTTTACTGACCAACACAAAATGACAATATTTACTTTAGTTATCTTTGGTATAATTGATCTCATTTAGTTCAAGTGTTTTGAACTACTTAGATGAACAGCCTTTGGTGATTCTAGTTGCACAGAGCAAAGGGCTTTTTTTCAAAGTTGTACTTCTATTTTTCTTTAGTTTCATGTACAAGCCTTTGTCCTAAATATAAGCAATAAATTAATCAGTAGTCAATAAATCTATAACTTTTCTGAGGCCTGTTACATACAAGTGTTCCATAGCCTCAGCAGGACATGAAAGCTATCTTTCCTTTGTTTTCAATTCCTAAATGTGGCTCTTGACATTTCCTTCTTTCCATACATTTAAAAACTACAGATTTTTATTATTGATAATCTAAATCATTGATGTTTTTCTGTTTTCAGTTCAACAGCATTTTTAATAACTGTTATAACTGAGTTTTTTAAGGGGCAGCAAGATGCATAACGCACTGTTCATCACTTCAGCAATGCTATTCCCTTAAAAAGAAATTTCTATGCTTCATATAATGTTTTTTATCATCATATTTTTTTATGTAATCTGAAAGTGTGAGTAACCTCATAGATC